AAAATTCAGGCTGGCACGATGCACACATTAAATAGTAGGCTCACACTGACTGCACAGTTACTATTCCAATATGGCGTTGGGCTCGGTTACTATTCCAACATGGCGTCAGACTCGGGCACTCTCGTTTGGGCAGTGTCTACACCTGAGCGAGTGAGTGAGTGAGAGCAGCAAACTCGTTTCTACGCTTTGCGTATCCATGAGTTAAAAAAGGGACTGGAGGTGAATAAGCTCCAGTTCATCAAGAATAAATGAGGGCTGTGTTGGACAAAATTAACTTTTTCGATTTATTTAAGAAATCAATATGAATGCAATACTCAACTTTAAATTATGTTGCCCCATGCAATAAATGGTTTCTTTAGTTGAATAAGGGTAAAAAATCTTGCTCATTGGCATACCTGTAATCTTGTGTAAGCCCATCAAGAGCCTCCCAGTTAAGTGTCACCAGTGGGCAGGTCTTGGGCTTCATTTCCTGCCTGCAGGTTCCATCCTCACCACCATCGAAGTAGGCCAGAGTAAGCTCTTCCAGCTGACAGGTATTTTTGATATCCAGCACAGGTGGAAAGGTTGACCTAGAGCAAAGGCGTGGGATGAATCGTTCCCTTGCTGGTGAAAAGAATTGTCTGTTATTGCCCATAAGATGGAGAGGTGCCCTGGCTGATTTGGTCTTTCCCAGCCTGTGTTTGCCACAAATTACTGGGACAGGAAAGTGGTTGGCTTCCTCTATGATTTTATCATAGTGCAGTGTCAGTGTAGCCTCAGCTGCAAAAGTAAATTTGTGATTACTGTAATTAAATGTCATTTATTCTTAACTCATTTGGTTTCTACAAATGCACTGTCAGTATGGTAGTTCTGTGACCAGCAGACTGGAACCTTTTAAGTTTCTTTGGAGTGGGTGTAGATCTTTTTTGTGACAGCACACATTATACCAAGCTGGTATCTAGAGTTAGGTTTAGCTGTTTTAATCTCTCATGTATTTTTATTTTAAACACTAAGTTCCTAACAAAAGACAGCTCCACAGTGCCATCTATAAAGGCTTTGAACAGAAAACTAAGGTACAGGAAGGGGCATCTGCCACACATGTCATCAGTGCTGTGTCTCAATTTTTAGTTACAATACACTACTTATCACAATTCATTTATCAAACTTACCCACAGCTACAAGGGATGCCATGAAATTGTTGGGCAGGGTCTCCTTCAATGCCTGCAAAACATTGTTGATTATGTCAGTTTTGAATGGATAGATGACCTCTTGAGTCTTGACTTTGTCATCAAAAAGGTCATCTATCCAGACAAACTCCTGGTCTACTTCTGGTACAATTTCTGGTACAATTTCACCCTTTCCATCTATTTGGGAGTTCTCATCTAATATCTAGACTTTGGACCCTTCTTGTCTTCCAATTAATTTGGCTGCCTTATAAGTTTGATGCCTGTTTTCATTTTCACAGTTTCTGTTGAGAATAAAATAAAAAATTAATTTAAAATAATTTCTTTGTTGTTGAAATGAAATGAAATTATATATTCAATGATGGCATGTGGTAATTATAGATAACTAGGTGAGTATCCTCGATGAACCTTAGATCTATTCTTAATTGTTAATGTGACAACCAAATAATAAATATTATGTCATATCCATGGTAATCTGCATACCTTGCCTTGTTGTGTAGTAAATATAGTCATATTCCTTTGAGTTTTGTACATGCATATGAGGTTCAGGTAGCTAGGCTGATAAACATCCAAAATTTTTGAATACAACATGCAAGGTGTGATACATTGGTGGTCTGTCAAATTTCTGGTTTTCATATAATTATTTGTTTTAGAATGAAAATCATAGAATTACTTTCAAATATATAGGAATGCTGAGTTACCAGTAACTTCAAAGGGAATCTTCAAGAGACTGTTTAAAACTAATTTTATTTGTCAGGGGCAAATCTCACTACTATGCCCTATCAAATGATAGACCCACAATAAGTGATAGAAAGTATGATTTCATGATGTCCCTTAAGAACATGCAGAATTGTGTTGAATCAACTCACACATCAACACACCAGCATAACATGATTGGTTTAGTTCCTTGATAAATTTACCAACCCTGCCATTCAGAACTTTGTTAGTTCGAAAGAAGCGTTTTCTGGAAAAAGGAAAAATGAATTAGCCACTAAAAAGCAAATACTAGACTAGACAACTTAGCATAGAGGTATGATCTATAAGCTGGCAAACTGGTCAATTGGACAAAATAGTATTTTTAGAGTTAAGCATTCAGTCAATTACTGTTCAAGTGATATGTTACAGATAACAGGCTACCTTTTTGAATAAAAATTAAACCTCTACAAAATAAAGTTTCTAGTATTAAAGTGATACAGGGAAATTTTAATTAAATAAATAGAATACCAATTAATTTTTGAAATCCAAGAGCAAGAAGCATGATACTGAATGTAAACTACTTCTGCTAAGGCTCTTATTGCAGAAGGCTCCCTCTTCCCCTGCAAATATCCTCATTGGATTATGACCTTTAATCAATTAACCATCATTACCCTTTCCTTTGAAACCAAAATAAATGAAACAATTATAATAAAACTTGGTAACAAATCCAGTAGCAGTACTCATCTGCTTTGTGAGAAATATACACCAGCAATTGTACACAACAGGAATTCATTGGATTTTTACATGAATATTAAAATTTCATTAGTTAGGGAGATTTTAAGGAAATTAAGGCACCTACTCATGCAACATGCTTGAAAAATGCAGGCACCCCCTTGCTTAAAGAGAGAGAGAATTTAAAGAAAAGGGTATGGATATTGATATTCAAATATAATATTGTTTTACCTGTCTTGGCCAGTGATGGAGCACTTAACAAGACAGAGGAAACCACTGTCTTGTCCTCCAGCATCGACGTGCTTTAACAGAGTTATCGCGAAACTAGCTTTCTCGTAATATTTCCTGTTGCCATTGCTATCTTTTCCCATGATTCCCATGGCTCTCTCATTAATGACAAATTCTGGTGGGCTCATCTCCATGGACAGCAAAACGTGTACAGTGAAACTTAATAAGCGGACACCATTGAGACATTCACTGCAGTCCACTTAATACAGGATGTCCACCCTAAACAGGTTCTAATATATTATGCAATAAAAGATAACTATTGAATCTTTTGTAACATATTTCAGGTTTTGTGCAACAAATTGGCCTAATATTGGTGTCCGCGTCCGCTTAACAGAGGTGTCCTCCGAATGCAGGTTTATTTGGCAGTAGATATGGGAAGAAAATTTATGGACTCAAGCCAGTGTCCACTTATTGATGGGTGTCAGCTTAATATGCGGTCAGTTTGAAACAGGTTTCAATGTATGCATTTTAAAAGGATCACTCGTGCTTCAGATTTTTTAAATTAATATGCAAAAGATTTGTGAATTTGAGGAGGCTAGTGATGTAGGGGGTGATCTGCTACATTTGACATCCATGGACAATTTTGGCGCTAATCAACATGTCAACAACAATTTCTTACGATTTGAGACGGGTAAATAACAAAATACAGCTCGATGTGAAGTATATATGAAATAATTCATATTTGAACTGCGGTTGTAGATGAGAGTGAAGAATGATCATCGCAGCAAATTTCCCAATTTAAGCAACTGGAAAGAAGAAGCCTGAAAAAATCAGGGCTTCAACGGGATTCGAACCCATGATCAGTAGGACAGAGGAGCAGAGCCTGAGGTACTTATCCTTCTATAGGCACAAAACAGACCACTTTGAGCATCATGCTTCCTTATAAGGTAGAACTGTATCAGACTCATGATACCTGGTGAAGAAGCATTGAGGAAATAGCTTGAACATGTTCAGATTTAAAAACAATTATTTTCTGTTTATTGCTTCAGAAATTAATCTTCCCCGACTCTGTCTAATTGTTAGGAAGAAATATGTCCAAAAGATGCAAATTTGACATTCCTATGGCAGTGATGATGATAAAGAAGAACCCTTGAGTGAAGAAATGGTTGTCCATGTCACTCAAACAGCATTAGCTAATGGAACAGCACCAGGACTTCCAGTATTAGAGAATATTCCAGCACCAAATGGAGCTGAAGTTGAAATCGGTGGAAAGCAGTGTAAATGGTGGGGAAGCACCTCGCACCTTGGCAAAAGCCATAGAGACTGTCCATACAATTCTACACAGAGTTAAAAAGTTTAAAATTATTTTTCCCTGAGGCTAGTTTATCAACTTGTGTATTTTTATTATACTAGGCTTATGAGTGGATTTATTTCCTCCAAGTGTCACTTTTTCCATTCTATGGTTCGTCTATCTCGATTGTCAAATGATTTCACAAGGAAATAATTTCTAAAAAGTGGAGTTAGTCATACCAATTCTACAAGTAATGAGCATGGGGTGATGAGTTATCAAGCTATATAATTGCCTATTGTTCCCAATGACAGGCAATCATACAAGGAAGATTTTCTCTTTTATTTGAAACAAGTACAACAAGTATGTAAGTTGAAAAATGTTTACAGTTATGTTCATACTATGTAGAATATAATAATGTAAATATTTAGACATGCTGCTTTGGCAATCACTAAATTAGTCATTCGATAATATATAATATCAGTAGGTCAGGGAAAATAAACAAATGGAGAGTGAAAATAAAAAAAACGAGTAAACTATTTTCTTTACTTTGCATTTTACAGTACGAAATCAACATGGAAATTTATTCAATTGTTATTCAATAATATCAATAATTATTTATTAATTCTAGTTGGGTAGAACATAACAATATAAATATTAGACATGCGGCATTGGCAATCAGTAAATTGGTGATTCAATAAAAGTGTTATCTTTGTATAAGGGAAAATAAAGAAATAGTAGATAAGAATCAATAAAAGAAATATTTAAGTATTTTCTTTAATTTTGCATTTTACAGTAAGAAATCAACAGGAAAGTACTGATGATAATTTATTCAATTAAGTTATTTATTTCATAAAATACTAATAATTATTTATTTAGATGGCCACTTTGCCTCAGCCATGTCTCTAAGGGTGACATGATATACCTGAAATACAAAAGAGAAGGAGATTGCAAAGAGCATTTCAACTTGTTTGTTTCTGAAGGGAGGAGAAAGTCTGAAAACTCCTGAAAAACATCATTGTTTGCACACAAAAATATTGTCAACGGAAACACTATTTTGTGCAAGCGACGACACGGGAAAAAGTAGTGGGGTGTAGGTAGCGGCGAAGTGTAAGGTAATATGCTACGGAGGGTGGGCATATTCAAACAAACAACGGTACTTACTGCGGGTCCTTGCAGGTCGTCAAAGTCCCTTAGGTGCCCCTGAATTTAATCTCTTACTGCTTCCTTCACTGTGGAAGGGAACACATATGTTGGGTTGGTCTTGCCTCGGAACCTTCCCTGTCCGACTTGGTTTCCAAACTAGAAAAGAAAGAGAAAAACCATCAAACTTCAAGAGAGTAAACTGTTTGGTGACTGCAAAGTTCAGCTGTACATTCTTGGGCATTAGCAATTTGGCTTTCATGCACTGTGGAAAGCAAACTCAAACGAAATTGCAGGAAAATATAGAGGAAGGTTACTCACCCAAAGAATCCCGAACAATCGCTGATAAACGTGGCATCAGCACTGCTCAGCGCTCTCGTTTTTCATTGTGGGGGCTTCGGCCTCCACATTGCTACCATTGGTGGAATTTATTTGTCTACGTGCCGTGATCACAAGGTCATCTGGGGGGAATTGCACGTTGGCCACACCTGGTGGTAGTTCGAATCTACGGAGGCACATTCTGGTCCACCCTGCGAGCAGAGCCTCTTTTATCGCTTTTTTGAGCAGACAGGAGACGGAAAAAGAGGCTCTGCACAAATCTGCTTTAGCCTTTGAAGTCGCCATAGCCCCAAATCTTGGGCTAGTCATTCCGGTTTACAGTCGTCAAACTGGTTTTTCGAGTGTGAACATCAACTTTTATGAGAAACCAATGGTCGAAACTGAGCCTACTGGATGCAAGAAAAACATGGCAACAAAAGGGCAGGTGAAAGGAGATCGTGCGAAAATGCTTGATGATGCTCTGCTTACACACAAGCATCAGTCAGCTTCTATCAAGTCTTTCACATCTGGGACTTTTGTATCTTTACCCAGGATCACTGGTCATGGAAAATCTTTCATTTTATAAGCTTATCAACCTTTGCTCCCGTTCACAAAAGAGTTACAAAAGCACTCCGAACTCTGATTTTCTCCACCCACTAACTGCGCTGATCGAAGACCAAAGCCAAACTTACCAAGTTTTCGATACTAATTGTTTGAAGCTTGAGGTATTTAAACAGGGCGATCCCAGCGATTTATTGTTTTCAAGTAAAGCATTAGGAAGGTTCATCAAATCTGAGCGAAGAAAATATTTTTGGTGTTGTTTTAGATGAAACTCATTGTGCAATTATTTGGTGAGTTGCCATTCTTTTTTCAGCTTCTTACAGATCATGAGTAATGCTCATCTTTGCTGTTTTTCATTGTTATTTTCCTTTGTCTCAGTGAAGGATAATTATGTACAAACCTGAAATAAGTTAAGTAAAACATTAAATAAAACCAAGAATTAAATTGAATCATGATTGTATATACCTGATAATTTAATTATGGTATCATTTTGGTTTGAGAGATAAACTAGTTTACTAGAAAGCATATTGTNAGCGGGCAGGTCTTGGGCTTCATTTCCCGGCTGCAGGTTCCATCCTTCCCACCATCGAAGTAGGCCAGAGCAAGCTCTCCCAGTTGACGGGTATTTTTGATATCATCCAGCACGGGTGGAAAGGTAGACCTAGAGCAAAGGCGTGGGATGAATCGTTCCCTTGCTGATGAAAAGAATTGTCTACCATTGCCCATAAGATGTAGAGCTGCCCTGGCTGATTTGGTCTTTCCCAGCCTATGTTCACCACAAATTACTGGGACAGGGAAGTGGTTGCCTTCCTCTATGATTTTATCATAGTGCAGTCCCAGTGTAGCCCCAGCTGCAAAATTAAATTTATGGCTACTGTAATTAAATGTCATTTAATCTTAATTCATGTGGTTTCTACAAAAGCACTGTTAGTATGGTAGTTCTGTGGCCAGCAGACTGGAACCTTTTAAGTTTCTTTTGGAGTGGGTGTAAATCTTTTTTGTGACAGCATACATTATACCAAGCTGGTATATAGATAGGGTTAGCTGTTTTAATATTTCATGTATTTTTGTTTTAAACACTCTAAGTTCCTAACATAATTCAACTCCCCTGTGCCATCTATAAAGGTTTTGAACAGAAAATTAAGGTACAGGAAGGGGTGCCCACCACACAAATGTCATCAGCACTATGTCTCAATTTTTAATTAAAATGCACTACTTATCACAATTCATTTCTCAAACTTACCCACAGCTACAAGGGATGCCATGAAATTGGTGTGCAGGGTCTCCTTCAATGCCCGCAAAACATCGTTGAGTATGTCAGTTTTGAATGGATAGATGACCTCTTGAGTCTTGACTTTGCCATCAAAGAGGTCATCTATCCAGCAAACTCCTGGTCTTCTTCTGGTACAATTTCCCCCTTTCCATCTATTTGGGTGTTCTCATCTAATATCCAGACTTCTGACCCTTCTTGTCTTCCAATTAATTTGGCTGCCTTATAAGTTTGACGCCTGTTTTCATTTTCACAGTTTCTGTTGAGAATATATGTATTCGATGGTGGAATGTGATAATTATATATAACGATATATAACTAGGTGAGTATCTTTGATGAACCTTAGATCTATTCTTGTCAATGCGACAACCAAATAATAAATATTATGTCATATCCATGGTAATCTGCATACCTTGCCTTTTTGTGTAGTAAATATAGTCATATTCCTTTGAGTTTTGTTCATGTAGATGAAGATCAGGTAGCTAGGCTGATAAACATCCAAAGTTTTTGAATACAACATGCAAGGTGTGATACATTGGTGGTCTGTCAAATTTCTGGTTTTCATATAATTATTTGTTTTAGAATGAAAATCATAGAATTACTTTCAAATATATAGGAATGCTGAGTTACCAGTAACTTCAAAGGGAATCTTCAAGAGACTGTTTAAAACTAATTTTATTTGTCAGGGGCAAATCTCACTACTATGCCCTATCAAATGATAGACCCACAATAAGTGATAGAAAGTATGATTTCATGATGTCCCTTAAGAACATGCAGAATTGTGTTGAATCAACTCACACATCAACACACCAGCATAACATGATTGGTTTAGTTCCTTGATAAATTTACCAACCCTGCCATTCAGAACTTTGTTAGTTCGAAAGAAGCGTTTTCTGGAAAAAGGAAAAATGAATTAGCCACTAAAAAGCAAATACTAGACTAGACAACTTAGCATAGAGGTATGATCTATAAGCTGGCAAACTGGTCAATTGGACAAAATAGTATTTTTAGAGTTAAGCATTCAGTCAATTACTGTTCAAGTGATATGTTACAGATAACAGGCTACCTTTTTGAATAAAAATTAAACCTCTACAAAATAAAGTTTCTAGTATTAAAGTGATACAGGGAAATTTTAATTAAATAAATAGAATACCAATTAATTTTTGAAATCCAAGAGCAAGAAGCATGATACTGAATGTAAACTACTTCTGCTAAGGCTCTTATTGCAGAAGGCTCCCTCTTCCCCTGCAAATATCCTCATTGGATTATGACCTTTAATCAATTAACCATCATTACCCTTTCCTTTGAAACCAAAATAAATGAAACAATTATAATAAAACTTGGTAACAAATCCAGTAGCAGTACTCATCTGCTTTGTGAGAAATATACACCAGCAATTGTACACAACAGGAATTCATTGGATTTTTACATGAATATTAAAATTTCATTAGTTAGGGAGATTTTAAGGAAATTAAGGCACCTACTCATGCAACATGCTTGAAAAATGCAGGCACCCCCTTGCTTAAAGAGAGAGAGAATTTAAAGAAAAGGGTATGGATATTGATATTCAAATATAATATTGTTTTACCTGTCTTGGCCAGTGATGGAGCACTTAACAAGACAGAGGAAACCACTGTCTTGTCCTCCAGCATCGACGTGCTTTAACAGAGTTATCGCGAAACTAGCTTTCTCGTAATATTTCCTGTTGCCATTGCTATCTTTTCCCATGATTCCCATGGCTCTCTCATTAATGACAAATTCTGGTGGGCTCATCTCCATGGACAGCAAAACGTGTACAGTGAAACTTAATAAGCGGACACCATTGAGACATTCACTGCAGTCCACTTAATACAGGATGTCCACCCTAAACAGGTTCTAATATATTATGCAATAAAAGATAACTATTGAATCTTTTGTAACATATTTCAGGTTTTGTGCAACAAATTGGCCTAATATTGGTGTCCGCGTCCGCTTAACAGAGGTGTCCTCCGAATGCAGGTTTATTTGGCAGTAGATATGGGAAGAAAATTTATGGACTCAAGCCAGTGTCCACTTATTGATGGGTGTCAGCTTAATATGCGGTCAGTTTGAAACAGGTTTCAATGTATGCATTTTAAAAGGATCACTCGTGCTTCAGATTTTTTAAATTAATATGCAAAAGATTTGTGAATTTGAGGAGGCTAGTGATGTAGGGGGTGATCTGCTACATTTGACATCCATGGACAATTTTGGCGCTAATCAACATGTCAACAACAATTTCTTACGATTTGAGACGGGTAAATAACAAAATACAGCTCGATGTGAAGTATATATGAAATAATTCATATTTGAACTGCGGTTGTAGATGAGAGTGAAGAATGATCATCGCAGCAAATTTCCCAATTTAAGCAACTGGAAAGAAGAAGCCTGAAAAAATCAGGGCTTCAACGGGATTCGAACCCATGATCAGTAGGACAGAGGAGCAGAGCCTGAGGTACTTATCCTTCTATAGGCACAAAACAGACCACTTTGAGCATCATGCTTCCTTATAAGGTAGAACTGTATCAGACTCATGATACCTGGTGAAGAAGCATTGAGGAAATAGCTTGAACATGTTCAGATTTAAAAACAATTATTTTCTGTTAATTGCTTCAGAAATTAATCTTCCCCGACTCTGTCTAATTGTTAGGAAGAAATATGTCCAAAAGATGCAAATTTGACATTCCTATGGCAGTGATGATGATAAAGAAGAACCCTTGAGTGAAGAAATGGTTGTCCATGTCACTCAAACAGCATTAGCTAATGGAACAGCACCAGGACTTCCAGTATTAGAGAATATTCCAGCACCAAATGGAGCTGAAGTTGAAATCGGTGGAAAGCAGTGTAAATGGTGGGGAAGCACCTCGCACCTTGGCAAAAGCCATAGAGACTGTCCATACAATTCTACACAGAGTTAAAAAGTTTAAAATTATTTTTCCCTGAGGCTAGTTTATCAACTTGTGTATTTTTATTATACTAGGCTTATGAGTGGATTTATTTCCTCCAAGTGTCACTTTTTCCATTCTATGGTTCGTCTATCTCGATTGTCAAATGATTTCACAAGGAAATAATTTCTAAAAAGTGGAGTTAGTCATACCAATTCTACAAGTAATGAGCATGGGGTGATGAGTTATCAAGCTATATAATTGCCTATTGTTCCCAATGACAGGCAATCATACAAGGAAGATTTTCTCTTTTATTTGAAACAAGTACAACAAGTATGTAAGTTGAAAAATGTTTACAGTTATGTTCATACTATGTAGAATATAATAATGTAAATATTTAGACATGCTGCTTTGGCAATCACTAAATTAGTCATTCGATAATATATAATATCAGTAGGTCAGGGAAAATAAACAAATGGAGAGTGAAAATAAAAAAAACGAGTAAACTATTTTCTTTACTTTGCATTTTACAGTACGAAATCAACATGGAAATTTATTCAATTGTTATTCAATAATATCAATAATTATTTATTAATTCTAGTTGGGTAGAACATAACAATATAAATATTAGACATGCGGCATTGGCAATCAGTAAATTGGTGATTCAATAAAAGTGTTATCTTTGTATAAGGGAAAATAAAGAAATAGTAGATAAGAATCAATAAAAGAAATATTTAAGTATTTTCTTTAATTTTGCATTTTACAGTAAGAAATCAACAGGAAAGTACTGATGATAATTTATTCAATTAAGTTATTTATTTCATAAAATACTAATAATTATTTATTTAGATGGCCACTTTGCCTCAGCCATGTCTCTAAGGGTGACATGATATACCTGAAATACAAAAGAGAAGGAGATTGCAAAGAGCATTTCAACTTGTTTGTTTCTGAAGGGAGGAGAAAGTCTGAAAACTCCTGAAAAACATCATTGTTTGCACACAAAAATATTGTCAACGGAAACACTATTTTGTGCAAGCGACGACACGGGAAAAAGTAGTGGGGTGTAGGTAGCGGCGAAGTGTAAGGTAATATGCTACGGAGGGTGGGCATATTCAAACAAACAACGGTACTTACTGCGGGTCCTTGCAGGTCGTCAAAGTCCCTTAGGTGCCCCTGAATTTAATCTCTTACTGCTTCCTTCACTGTGGAAGGGAACACATATGTTGGGTTGGTCTTGCCTCGGAACCTTCCCTGTCCGACTTGGTTTCCAAACTAGAAAAGAAAGAGAAAAACCATCAAACTTCAAGAGAGTAAACTGTTTGGTGACTGCAAAGTTCAGCTGTACATTCTTGGGCATTAGCAATTTGGCTTTCATGCACTGTGGAAAGCAAACTCAAACGAAATTGCAGGAAAATATAGAGGAAGGTTACTCACCCAAAGAATCCCGAACAATCGCTGATAAACGTGGCATCAGCACTGCTCAGCGCTCTCGTTTTTCATTGTGGGGGCTTCGGCCTCCACATTGCTACCATTGGTGGAATTTATTTGTCTACGTGCCGTGATCACAAGGTCATCTGGGGGGAATTGCACGTTGGCCACACCTGGTGGTAGTTCGAATCTACGGAGGCACATTCTGGTCCACCCTGCGAGCAGAGCCTCTTTTATCGCTTTTTTGAGCAGACAGGAGACGGAAAAAGAGGCTCTGCACAAATCTGCTTTAGCCTTTGAAGTCGCCATAGCCCCAAATCTTGGGCTAGTCATTCCGGTTTACAGTCGTCAAACTGGTTTTTCGAGTGTGAACATCAACTTTTATGAGAAACCAATGGTCGAAACTGAGCCTACTGGATGCAAGAAAAACATGGCAACAAAAGGGCAGGTGAAAGGAGATCGTGCGAAAATGCTTGATGATGCTCTGCTTACACACAAGCATCAGTCAGCTTCTATCAAGTCTTTCACATCTGGGACTTTTGTATCTTTACCCAGGATCACTGGTCATGGAAAATCTTTCATTTTATAAGCTTATCAACCTTTGCTCCCGTTCACAAAAGAGTTACAAAAGCACTCCGAACTCTGATTTTCTCCACCCACTAACTGCGCTGATCGAAGACCAAAGCCAAACTTACCAAGTTTTCGATACTAATTGTTTGAAGCTTGAGGTATTTAAACAGGGCGATCCCAGCGATTTATTGTTTTCAAGT